TCTCTTCCTCTCTGTAAAAAATCAATAAAAATATATTTTTTAAAAAATCCTAGATTTGTTTATTTATTTATCCATGCCTCTCCACCCTCCCTGGTTCCTTCAGATCCCAACTCCATCCCACCCTGCTTGCTTCCATGTCCAGATCTAGATCTAATTTTTGTCATGTAATCTAGCCAGCTCGGACTTGGTTGGTAACTGATGGATCATGGGCTTTTTCTGTGATGGACCTGATACTAGTGATTTCAAAGCTCCAAAATGGGCCCAGAAGTCATTATAACATGTCTTTTCCAAAGACCATGGTGAATCCAAACCACGAATTTATCAATTAGTCCTGTGACATAGCCCTCTTACACCCAATAGAAACCTTACAAAATTTGGTTCTACTGAACATCTGCTCAATTTTTAATAAAAGTTGTGTTTTCTGTCAAATTAGTTTTAAAATATCAAGGGTCAAATTTTTATTTTTATTTATTTATTTATTTATTAAATAAATCTTTATTGTTCAGATTATTACAAATGTGATCCTCTTCCCCCCCTCAGTTGCTCCCCTTCACCAGGTTCCCACCCCACCCTCTGTCCTTTCCCCATCCCCCACTGTCCTCATCCATAGGCGCACAGTTTTTTTTTCAGTCTCTTCCCACACCCCCACTTCCCTTTTCCCTGAGAATCATCAGTCCACTACCCTTCCATACCTCTGATTCTATTATATTCACCAGTTAATATTGTTCATCAGATTTTTTAATTCTCTTGGTTTTTAGATTCACTTGTTGATAGCTATGTATTTGTTGATCATAATTTTTATCTTTATCTTCTTCCTCTTCCTAAATAACCCTCTTCAGAAATTCATATAATTCTGGTTTGGTGGTGATGAACTCTTTTAGCTTTTTTTAATTTTATTTGTGAAGCTCTTTATCTGGCCTTTGATTCTGAGTGATAGCTTTGCTGGGTAGATTATTTTTGGCTGTAGGTTCTTGCTATTCATCATGTTGAATATTTCTTGCCATTCCCGACTGGCCTGCATGGTTTCTGTTGAGAAATCAGCTGACAATCTGATGGGTGCTCCTTTATAAGTCACTACCTGCTTTTCTCTTGCTGCTTTTAATATTCTCTCTTTGTCTTTTGCTCTTGGAATTTTAATTATGATGTGTCTTGGTGTGGTCCTCCTTGGATTCCTTTTGTTTGGGGTTCTGCGGGCTTCCTGGACTTGTAAGTCTATTTCTTTCCCCAGGTGGGGGAAGTTTTCTGTCACTATTTCTTCTAGTATTCTTTCGCTATCTTGCTCTCTCTCTTCTTCTGGAATTCCCATAATTCTGATGTTGGTTCGCTTAAAATTGTCCCAGAGGTTTCTTACACTATCTTCAACTTTCTGGATTCTCTTATCTTCTCCCTTCTGCAGAGGAGTGTCCTCTGGCTCTTTGTGTTCTAAATCTTTGTCTTGATTCTTGCGATCTTCCAGTCAGTTTTTAGGACTTCGTATAATATTTTTTATTTCAGACAATGTTTTTTTCATTTCTAGTTGATCCCTTATTATTTCTAGTTGCTCCCTTTACATATCCTCATAGATCTCATTAATTTTATCGGCCTTTTTTAGGATATTGTTGAATAACCTTATAACTGTAGTTTTGAACTCAATGTCCAATCTTTTCTTTTCCTCCATCTCCTTCCTTTGTGTCCTTCCTCTTATCTGCATTTTAGTTGTTTTCCTGATTTAATGGAATAGCTTTATGTTCTAGGTGTTCTGGTAGAGCCCAGTAGCACAGCCTTCCCAGTTACCTGCGATGGACAGTCTTGGTATAGCCCTTTGTGGGCTGTGTGTGCAGTCTTGTTGTTAAGCCTTGCATATTGTTGATATCACTGGGAAGCGTTGATCTCCAAGCCAATTGGCTGTGAGGATCAGCAGTGTCTCAGCTGGGAGGGCTTCTGTACTCCGCTTGGAGAGGGCGGGGTTTCGGGGTGGCGCAGACAATCTTTGGTTCCGTCAGTCTCGCCTTAGAAAAGTCCTGTTCGTGGAGAGTTTCGGAAGATTGGTCGCAGGCGCATGCACCTCTTTGGTAAAGGCGCAGACAAGCTTTGGATTCTGGCCAGTCCCTCCTTAGAGAAAGCCAGCCTCTGGGAGAGCTTCTGTGCTCAGCCACAGATGGGGCAGAGTCTTGGGTTGGTGCAGACAAACTTTGTTTTCCTTTCGGCTCCTCCCCAAGTCCTGCAGTAATGGCCTCTGGCTTCACACACCTCGGAGAGATCTCTGCCCGCTGCCTGACAGTCTGGCCTCTTCAAGGGTCAAATTTTTAACACTTCTTAAAAAGTACAAACTGGAGCCAGCCCTAGAACCTTAGGGGCAAGTAGCTGAAGAGTTTAAATCAGGCAGTTTTAGGATAATGAAGTAATTAAGGCCAAGAGTGAGTAAAATGGCTCAGCTCACATGTTAGCAGCCAGTTTTCCTATTCATTGAAAAAATATTTGCATATAGTGAAAATGGTGTGGCTCTGAAATTCCCAGCACCAGCCATTTAAATTCCTACTCTCCCTTCACTTTTGAAACCATCTAAATTGTTGACACAAAGAAAGAGAAAGAGCAATTTGAGCTGAAACTGGTTTAGCTCAGTGGATAGAGCTCAAGGATCCCCAGGTTCAATTCCGGTCAAGGGCACGTACCTTGGTTGCTAGCACATCCCCATTTGAGGGTGTGCAGGAGGCAGCTGATCAATGTTTCTCTCTCATCGATGTTTCTGTCTCCCTTCCTTTCTGTAAAAAATCAATATATATATATATATATATATATATATATATATATATATATATATATATATAGAGAGAGAGAGAGAGAGAGAGAGAGAGAGAGAGAGAGAGAAATTTGGGATCTTCTGAAAGAGCATGAATTGGTTTCTATGCCCCACCTCTCAAAAGCTTGTGATGGCTACCTGGCTACCCCTGGCTGTGTTACTGGGCAATTGGTAGCTGGTTTATAGTCAAGACTACTACTCCCTGTCCCCTATCCCAAATCCTGTTCAAACTCTCTGGCATTAATAATTGAGCCATGTGGCCTTGGGTAAGTCAACTTCTCTGGGCCTTAGTTTTCTTATCTATAAAATAAGGATGTGGAATTAGGCCCATGATTTTATTTTTTAAATGTTATAAATAGCAAAGAAATGAAAAAAAGAAGAAAGAGGACAATGCAAAGCAAGAGCATGTATGTACCAAGAGTACTTGGGCCATAATCTGCCACTTGTGGCTTCTTACATGAAAATCCCATTAGAGATTCTCTAAAACTGTGATCTGATCCAGCTTTAGGCAAGATTTTTTTTTCTTCTTCCTTTTAGAAAAGCTGAGCTTAATCATTTGGGACTTTGCATTCCTGCTTTTTCTCCTCTTAGTGTTTTTTTTTTTTTTTTTTTTTTTCTTTAATCCTCTTCCGAGGTTATTTTTTCCATTGATTTTTAGAAAGAGTAGAAGGGAGGAAGGAGGAGAAGGGAGAGAGAGAGAGAGAGGAACATTGTCATGAGAGAGACACATCCATTGGTTGCCTCTGACTGGGACTGGGGATCAAACCTGAAACTGAGGTATGTGTCTTTGACCGGGAATTAAACCCAAGATTCTTCAATCCGCAGGCCGATGCTCTAACCATGAGCAACAGGCCAGGGTTTGGTGTCCTTTTTTGTTGTTGTTGATGTTTATTTCTTCTCAGTGATTGTTTTAATGCATTTTTTAATTGAAAATAGACATTTTATTTTGTTTATATAAGATACAATTACAAAATGCAAGTCATAATGTGTAGATACTAGAGGCCTGGTGCAGGGGATTCATGTACTGGTGGGGGGCATGGCTTGTGGGGATTGACTTGCTATGGGAGCGCTGCTCATCCAGGTCAGCTGAGTGGCTGTGGACCGGCCCTCTGAGTGGCTGCTCTGGTCTGGCATCTTTTGTGGTGCCAGATCACTCGCTTCTCCAGAGGACCTGGTCAGAGCCAGGCCCAAGGACAATAGCGGCCGAGTAGGCCTCATTCCCATGGCAGCCAGAAACCCGCCTCCCAGCCTCGGGGTCCAGCTCTGTGGCGGTGGTGGAGACGCTGTGCAGCCTGCAGGTGTCCGGAGGAGGTGGAAGGGAGCAAGGAGGAGGAGCCTGGGGTAAGGAGGGGACATTCGCAACCTGGGTTCCTGCCCATGGGTCCAGAAAAGTAGTAGCTCAATTGGCAAGAAGGGAAGGAGAAAGTAACTAGGAGTCAGCTAAGCCAGATGTGATAATCCTGATATAATACTTATAAAGCTTTTAAAACAGTTCTTGGCACTTAGTGTTAAGCTCATCCTGGTCAGACTAGCAGTGCTCCCACTCCTGCGTTGAGCGTCTGCCCCCTGGTCAGCGCACATCATAGCGACTGGTCAACTGGTTGTTCTGCCATTCGATCGCTGGGCTTTTATTATATAGGATAATAAACGATGTATAAATATAAATGTATATATGGAAAATGTCACTGAGTTCAGTTTTCTTTCTGAATCCTTAAATTAAGAGAATTCACTGGGTACAATATCTCTTTGCTCCCTCTCAGTGCAAGCAGAGCACCTAACTGGAGAGAGTTTTAGGAGCTCAAATGCTGATGTCATCCTTATAAACACCTCTCAAGCCAGGAGGCGCCTGCTGAATTCACTTAGAGCCTCAGATATATTTTTCTTTGTAAACTGCCAGTCAGGAGGAGGGATGGAAGAGAGTCAAGCTGATAAGTTATCCTGAATAAATATCATAATAAAATAAAAGCCCTGATAGGAAGACCTGAGGCCTTCAATGCCTGGGACTTTGGGAATTTGGCTCCATATCTGAGGCAGGGCAGGCATCAAGCTTCCATCATAAGCCTGGAGAGCCTACTCCTGCAGACAGTGCTGAGGGTGGGCACATCTTGGTGGCTTCTCCCTGGCCCCGGACTCCTTGAGTCTTTTCTAGGTCCCCTCTGGCCAGAGCAGAGCTGGTGCCTTCGCTGTAGCCCTTGCTGGCCTGGTTTTCCCTTGGAGTTTCCTAGACTGTGTGGCTGCTTTCTGTATCCTCCTCTTGGCCATTGGTTCCCCCAGCCATTGGGATATCTTCCATATTTTCCATTTGATCACGGGGTGTCTGGGAAGTTTGCCTGTAAAGCAAATAATTCACAGGTTTTGAAAAGAGGAGAGCATTGCCTTCAAATTGAGTAAACAGTCTCTATTGAACACTCACATGGAGAAAACTGTACTCTGGGCACATAGTGTTATATTTTTAGGGTTTTCAGCATTTTTAATCCTCTTATTCACCAAAGATTTCCAAATGCTATAGGAGCAACACCTCTCTCCCGCCCCCTCCTTGCCAATCCTCCGCTGAAAAGTGGTAGCTCAAATGGCAAGAAGAGAAGGAGAAAGTAACTAGGAGTCAGCTAAGCCAGATGTGATAATCCTGATAAAAATGATATAATACTTATAAAGCTTTTAAAACAGTTCTTGGCACTTAGTGTTAAGCGTTGACCCAGGAACTGGGTTTAATTCCTGATCAGGGCACATGCCTGGGCTGTGGGCTCGATCCACAATAGAGGTATGTATAGGAGGCCAATCAATGTGTCTTTCTATCTCTCTCCCTCTAAAAATAAATTAAAAACATTTTAAAAAGTAAACAAATATATTAATCAGTTCTTGAGTAATCAAGAGGAGGGGAGGCAGAACACCTTAATTTCATGTTTCTTTGTTGAACAATGTGATTTTTAGGCCATGAGTGTCTGAGTCAGCAATTTCTTCCAAGCATTATTTAACCCACCCTGCGAAGATAAGCACTTTTTAGGACATTTTAAAATAAGCAGGTTTAGCCGAAACTGGTTTGGCTCAGTGGATAGAGTGTCGGCCTGTGGACTGAAGGATCCCGGGTTCGATTCCGGTCAAGGGCATGTACCTTGGTGCGGGCACATCCCAAGTAGGTGGTGTGCAAGAGGCAGCTGATCGATGATTCTCTCTCATCAATGTTTCTAACTATCCCTCTCTCTTCCTCTCTGTAAAAAAAATCAATAAAATATATTAAAAAAATAAAAATAAAATAAAATAAGCAGGTTTACCTCTTAGTAAGTTAATCTTAAAGAGGTGATTATGAATATTTCTTTTTTTTTTAAAAATATATTTTATTGGTTTTACACAGAGAGGAATTGAGAAGGATAGAGAGTTAGAAATGTTGATGAGAGAGATACATTGACCAGCTGCCTCTTGCACACCCTTACTAGGGATGTGCCCTCAACCAAGGTATGTGCCCTTGACCGGAATCGAACCTTTCAGTCCGCAGGCCAACGCTCTATCCACTGAGCCAAACTGGTTTCGGCTGATTATGAATATTTCTTTAACATAGTCTGTGAATATTGATATTTTCTAATGAGCATATTTATTGGCCATATATACTACGTTTTCAAATACTTTTAAAGAACATAATTTAATGTATTATTCTTTTAAAAGATTGTGTATGAATTTTTTTTTTTTAAATAGTCACCTAGCCAACAGCATCTCAACCTGTGAACAGGAGGTCATGGTTCTATTCCTAGTCGGGGCATATACCAGGTTGTGGGCTCCATTCCCAATGTGGGATATGCAGCAGGCAGCCAATCAATGATTCTCTATCATCATTGATGTTTCTATCTATCTCTTCCTCTCTGAAATCAATAAAAATATATTTTAAAAATATATAGTCAATGATTATAGTCATTATAATCTCTTAAGAATGTAACTCTAAATATAGCATTTTATATGGAAATTATTATGATATTTTAAAAATCCTTCTAAAATACATTTTGCCAACGTTTTAAAAATTTTTATTTTTTGATAAGTTCTTAAGTAATATAGTAATCTTAGTTAATTTCTAAACTATTTATGAGTTTATGGTAATTCTTGTTGTTTGAGATGGTATTAACAGGTTTTGAAGATTTATGTAAATTTTTAGATACTTTCATTTTGGCTTTACAGTAGCATTTCATGAAATGTTCATTTTTTTTGAAGTTAGGCTCAAAGGACAGTGTAGTTTTTATATTGATATGATATTTACAAATGAATATTTTTTTACTAGTAACAAAGTTTATTTTCAAAAAATCTTATGTTCATTGATTGTATAAAGCCGAGAAAGAATCCAGAGCAACTACATCAATGTGGAATGCTGAAATACTGGTTACTAATTATAGAAATATAAAATTAAGGCTAACCCAGGCTGGTTTGGCTCAGTTGATAGAGCATTGGCCTGTGGATTGAAGGGTCCTGGATTAGATTCCGGTCAAGGGCACTTGCCCAAATTGCAGGCTTGATCTCCACTAGGGGGCGTGCAGGAGGCGGCTGATCCATGATTCTCACTCATCAATGATGGTTCTCTCCCTTCCTCTCTTAAATCAATAAAAATATATTAAAAGAAAAAGAAAAATTCATTTAAAAAAGTTTAAGGAGCATTTAAAAAATAAATTAAGTAAAAGCTAATGTGTCATTTGAGGCTTTAATGAAAAAAATGATAAAAATGCCTGATGATTAGAAAAATAATAAGGTCTGAAATTTCAGCAAGTGACAGAAACAATCTTGTCACAAGTGCTGAAATGTAGAATTTTAATGATCAGAAATACAAAAGTAAGACTAACATGAAGAGTATATTTATTTAAAAAAAGTATCTCCAGCCGAAACAGGTTTGGTTCAATGGATAGAGCGTCGGCTTGGGGTCTGAAAGGTCCTGGGTTCGATTCCAGTCAAGGGCATGTACCTTGATTGCAGGCATATCCCCAATGGGGGGTGTGCAAGAGGCAGCTGATCGATGACTCTCTCTCATCGATGTTTCTAACTATCTCTCTCCTTTCCTCTCTGTACAAAATCAATATATTTTTTAAAAAGTATCTCCATATTTAATGAGTGCATTGAAGAAGAATATAGTCATGCCATATGATAAGAAGTGATACAAATTGCATATCAACCAAATTGGTAATTTGGCACATTCTTTCTTTCTGAATTGGCTCTTGGTAAAATTGGCCCCGGGTCATCAGCTCTCATTGCCCCATTTCTGACAAGTGGCCTGCTTTGGAAAGTAAATGGCTTTCTAAGACTGGTTCGGTGTGACTTTTTAACTCCAACACCGTTATGTGCTTTTTAAAATCCTCACCTGAGGATATGTTTTAGAGAGAGGAAAGGAGAGAGAGAAACATCAGTGTGAGAGAGAAGCATTGATTGGTTGCTTCCCGTACAGATCATATACCAAAACCTGGGTATGTGCCCTGACTGGGAATCGAAACAACCATCTTTTGGTATATTGAGATGATGCTCCAACCACCTGAGCCACCAGCCAGGATCCAACACTCCTTTGGCCAACATAAAAGAGGGGTGAGAGGGAGATCCTGTGTCTTTAGCCAAAAAAGGGATTCTTCATTGGGAAGGCAGGCTTAGAGTCATAATAATGAACTATTTTTCTCGGAGGAAAGGAAGAATCTTGTCCACTCACCTTGATCTTTTACAATAACATACCAGAAGTAATGCTCCACAAAGCACAGTAACAGATGAGAGTGTTGCCACTGTAAAAGAAGAGAACTAAGCTGGTATCATCCTAAAAGTTCAGGTTCATTTCATTTTTATTTCATTTATCGGGGTGACACCGGTTAACAAAATTATACACGTTTCAGGTGCACAATTCTACAACTCATATTTGTACACTGTTTTGTGTGTTTAGTATCCCAGGTCAAGACTCCATCCATCACCATCACCTATAAGGTTCATTTCTAAGAATCTGAAAAATCTTTACAATTTACATTCCCGCAGAGAGATACAAATGCCTTCCCAACCAGCTTACTGTTATTAACATTTCTTAAGGTTCCATGCAATTCAATCTATTCTACCTCTGGGCAAAAAGTAAATTCCTTCTCCACCAACACCGCCAGTTCAAACTGTCCAATTCATGTTATCACATGTCCTGTGCTCCTAATCCTTGTCCTTCCTGAGCAGAGTGACAGAGTCAGGAGGGGAGAGTAAGAGGCTCAGAGATCAGAACCTGGGGTGGACATATGAGGATGAGGAGGCCAGCACTTCGTGAGAAATGCTTGCTGCTAAATCCAAAGTCAAGAAAGTAGATATATGGTAAGGGTCCTTCTCAGTTGTCCTCTGGCACAACCTCCCTCTTCTCTGCAGCTTTGCAGAATCTTGATTTAGAAATGATAGCTTGCAGTGCCATTTTTCTTCAATTCCATTGTCATTATTTATGTGCTACTTTTTTTTTTTTTTTATAACCAAGGAAGGGTGATAAGGAAAAAGAGGAGGTGTTATAAGAGAGATCTTACAAGTAAGAGGAGAATAAAGAAATGCTTAGGAAAAGGAAAAAACTGTTGACTGAGTTGAAAAGAACAGCATGGATAGTGGGAGGATTTGACGTGGAAGGCCAGCAGCAATGACAGCATTTAAGATTTATTAGACAGGGGATCCTGTCTAATAAATCTCAAATGCTGTCATTGGGATCAGTGGGATCCTCGTGTGGAAGCAAAAGGGCAGGTGAACATAACTATTTTTAAAACACCGAATGAATAACAAATTCCAAGCAGATTTTGCCAACTTGCCTTAATATTATGAAATCTCCCTGCAAAAATCACCTGGCTACCCCAACTGCAAGATGACAACCCTGAACATCTGGAGAGCCAGTCATCTCACTGTGGACCATGAGTCAATTAGTCTCTTAGACCAGTGGTTGGCAAACTCATTAGTCAACAGAGCCAAATATCAACAGTACGATTGAAATTTCTTTTGAGAGCCAAATTTTTAAACTTAAACTTCTAATGCCACTTCAAAATAGACTTGCCCAGGCCGTGGTATTTTGTGGAAGAGCCACACTCAAGGGGCCAAAGAGGCACAGTTTGCCAACCACGGTCCTAGACCATTAAACTTTCAGACCTGTCCCTGTACAACTAACACACAACCTTGTAGGCAAGGGTAAATCCCCATGGGTTGGCATTTAAAATGTAACCCTATTGAAATACAGGTTAAGTATATGGAAATGGGAAACACCCAGATTCTCTGCTTTCCAGCAGTGAATGTAAATGGGTACAGTTTTTCTCAAAGGTAATTGGTAATATAACAAAAGCTCTAGAGAAGACCTTATATATTAACTCTCCATTTCTACTTCTAGGATTCACTCTAAGGGAATGGGAGAGTATATATAAGAATAGTTACTGAAGTATTATGTAAAATAATTTTTTAAATGTTTACCTAAATATCAGTAGAAAATTAGTTAAAATGTGTTAATACCCATCCAATGGAATATTATTCAGCTTTTAAAAATTACGAAATGGCCTGGTAGATGTAGTTTGACCTATGAACATATGAGCTTAGATCTACAAAATAGGACAGTGGTTCTCAACCTTTTTAATGCCGCGACCCTTTAATACAGTTAGGTATTAGGCTCTATAGCAGCGGTTCTCAACCTGTGGGTCACGACCTGTGGGTTGAGAACCGCTAGTAGGGTTGCCTAAGACCATTGGAAAACACATTATGATTCATAATAGTAGCAAAATTACAGTTAAGAAGTAGCAACGAAAATAATTTTATGGTTGGGGGTCACCACAACATGAGGAACTATATTAAAGGGTCACAACATTAAAAAGGTTGAGAACCACTGAACTAAGAGGTCACAGTTTGATTCTATCAGGGCACATGCCCTGGTTGCTGGCTCAATCCCCAGTAGGGAGCATGCAGGAGGCAGCTAATCAATGATTCTCTCTCGTTGATGTTTCTCTCTCTCTCTCTCACTCTCTCTCTCTCTCTCTCTCTCTCTCTCTCTCTCTCTCTCCCTCTCCCTTCCTCTCTGAAATCAATAAAAATATATTTTAAAACTTGTGAAACTAATCTATATTAACATGAAAAGATGCCTATCTATAATAATAAGCACATAATATGCTAATTAGACTGGACAGCCAAACGATCTTCTGCATGTCCTGGATGAAACCCGGGTAATTTCATGTATTGGGCCTCTAGTGACATCATAAGTGAAAAAAGGTGGTTGAAATAAAAATGAGCCAAAAGAAATCGAGTAAGCCATGTGTGTATCAAAAAATATTGAAGAATATCTATCAAAGTATTAAGTAATGGTGGGATTGTAGATAATCTTTATGTTCTTTAAGAAATTTTCCCCTGATATTTTTGCAATGTTGCTGTAATCAGGAGAAACAGTCAAGTGCAAAACCAAAACTACTTGCTGTAGAAAAAGCATAGAAAAGTTGTTCTAAAAGAAGTAACAACAAACTTGGAAAACTAGTGAAAGTTGTTTTGACTAAAAATCAGAAATCTTTATTAGCAGAGATATTGTAGCTGATGATTCACTATTTCTTCATGTTGACTAAGCAGTTCAGCATGCATTTACTGTTCATGGAGAGATTTATTGGAAAAGGCAAGTTGATATAAACAATAAGTTGTATTTCACAATGCTCCTTCCTGTTTATTTTTAATGAGGATATATATAAACTACAGACTCAAACTCAAGGGAGAAGCAATTTGAACTCAGTGACTTAAACTCAAACACTTGGCCTCTTCCTCAGTTATCTATGGAGATAATTTAGTAAAGAAATTGAAACCAGAATCTCTATAACAATGGACCAAGATAACAACTGCCAAATCCTCTACCCTTTTGGGTTTCCTAGGGGGTGCATGGATTAGAGAAAAGGGAAGTGAAAGAGATTTCGTGAGATAGAGGAGGATTAGAGTTGGGGGGAGGGGAGGAAGGAGAAAAAAAGTGTGCTATTGCACAGGAAGCCAGAAAGGCTAGTAACTGCCTGCATTTTATTGCAGGTTATTACCAGACCTGCCACAAATAGAATCTCCATTTCTACTGAGTGAACAGATGAATGTTACAAAGGTAGCTCCTGTTAAAGGCTGAGCATATTGACTGTAGCAAACTTATTTCAGATGTGACAGAAAAAGGAACTCCTCACTCCTAGTGTACTAAATGAAGATGGCCATGTAAACACCATCATAGATGACATTTTGACTTTTATTTTACAATTGAGACTCCTCAAGAATAGCTTAGTTAAGGATCAGAGACCAGATCTTGGAAAAACTGAATAAAATTATTGATAAAAAGGGCTGCCAAGGGAGGCAGTAGATATTTAAGACAATGAAATGATGCAACACACTTCCTGAATATTTATTTAAATGTTAAAGCCCTCAAATTTACTTAATCATTTTCTCATTCATTCACTACTTATTCATTCAATATTTCTGTTGGACTAAAAAAAGCAACTTTAAAAGTTGTGTTATCTTTTATAACCTTATTTAAAAAACAAATGATATTGGTAGTAACAATGGGCTGATCAAAACATTAAGTTAACATTTACTGAGCAACCACTATTGTATAAAGCATTATTTATTTATTTATTTATTTATTTATTTATTTTACAAAGATGAGCTCAACCAGGACTGTTCAGCTTCCTGGGACAAGTCTCCTAAGCTCCAACACTTTGAGGACAAAGGGAAATACTTACCAGCGGCAACTGTGGAATTGGATGAATGTGCACCTGCAGGGAGAGATTGCAGCTCAGTTATGACGGTAGAAGATACTGTTCTCATTAAGTAGGAGAAATTCTGCACAATTTGGTTCCTATCTTAAAGCCTTGAGAGATGCATGGCTGGCAACCAAACTCATGTTAGCAAAGAACAAGCAAGGTAATTAATTCATTTAGAGGCTGGGCCATGCTTAAGAATTAGATGTGCCCTCACAGAAGGTACAGGTTACCGAGAGCTCTTCCACCCCATAGATCGTGACTCCATAGGGTGGGGAGCTTCCTCCGTCCTCCCATATTAGGAGGAGGCAGAGAGTATTCAGATTCTTAGCAAAGCAGGTTAATACGGTGAGCCTTGGCACATTTGGGAAATTGACTTCCTTTTTTACCTGGACTGAGCCAGGGTGGTAGCACAAAGCAGAGAGGTCAGAGCAAGAAGGCTGTGGCAGAGAGCTGACCTCCCGTAAAGTGTGCAAAGCCAGTGCCAACCTGGCTTCTCGAGGGAGGTGGAAGGAGTGTGTTCCAAGGCTTTTGCAGTTGTGGGAGGTGGGGCTTGGGAGGGCTCATTCCTGACTACCCCCATGGTTCCTGCAGGAGGTTTGGATGGCATCAGCCTGGAGCCCGGTACCACGGCTGGCTTTGTGGCCACTATGGTGTCTGGCTTGGACATGAAAGCTGGTTCTGTCGGAAGGTACAACACATGGAGAACATAAATGTTTAGAATAGTTGCCGGAAGCCGATCATTGTTTTAATAATAGAGAGCTGTGGACAGGGAATTCAGAGGGCTGGTCATCCTTAGTTGCTTTAAAGGGTCAGAGCTAATTACTAGATATTGGTAGTTGAAGAAGCCCCCGCTTGTTAGTCCTAAATTCACTGATTGGCTTTTATTGGAGTTTCCTGCCTAGGGGATATGGGTGTATCTTATAATTTTAATCTTAATAAAAGGGATGGAAAAGCCAGAGCGAGAAGTAGTTCTCCTCCTAGAGTTGGACTACGGCCTGGCCCCCATTTCCCAAATTAAAACTTTTCTAAAGTCTCTTTTCATTTGTGTGCGGCCTTCTCCAGAACCCGAACCCTGAACCAGTACCCTGAATCTCACGGAACGTGAAAGGGGTTCCCACAAATAGTAACTTTTTCAGCTCCAGAAGAGAATGAACTTAATCCGTGATCCAAGGAGCCCGACCTGGGCCAGCCCTCCCCCAGCACACTGCTCCATGGATCTCTACAAAAATCCCTTCAGTGTTTAACATAGTCATCCATCCGGGGTGGCCATGAGACTTTTGAGAAAGCTAGAAGGTTTGCAGAATAAATTACAAAGATTAGAGTAGATCCAGGCTGTTTACTAAAGACTGGTCTCAAAACAAACAAACAAAAAAGACACACAAGTGGGACTGTATTTGCCAAAGCCAAAGTGTCTGGGATGCTGGCTTTAGTTTATTTTACACATGTTTTCTAAATAAGGGGGAGCCTGAGATGCCGCCCATCTGAACGATAGTGTATTTAAAGAGTATCTTGGCTTTGCCCCAGACTTGGCATCTTTGGCGGTCCGGCCACATTATTTGGGCTGCTTTATGCGCTCCCAGCCCAGATGCCGTGAGAGGTCCTATGCCCTTTAATCCTTCACGTCCTCATACTACCCAGACTGCCAGCACTCCAGGTACTTTGCAGAGAGTACCCCAGAGCAGTGGTCGGCAGAGCCAACAGAGCCAAATATCAACAGTACGACGATTGGAATTTCTTTTGAGAGCCAAATGTTTTTAAACTTAAACTTCTTCTAATGCCACTTCTTCAAAATAGATTTGCCCAGGCCGTGGTATTTTGTGGAAGAGCCACACTCAAAGGGCCAAAGAGCCACATGTGGCTCTCGAGCCACAGTTTGCCGACCATGGCCCCAGAGCATTCCCATCCAAGTGCCCATGGCAACATCACTGTGTCAAAGATGACAGTCTCACATCTGAGATTTCGACTATGCAGTTTCATCTGACCAAGTGTTTGGCGCATAAGGGCAGAACTGGGAGAGGCCACTTGATGATTTTCATTAATTGGGTGAATCAGATTTGACTTCGATCAAAGGAGCTTAGAACTGCCCCAAACTTAAATATAGCCAGTACCTCAGCCTCTGCCTTCTGTTTGTAGCCAGCTAACTAGAAGGAAATTTTTTTTGGCCTCTCCATCCTCCCTTCAGCAGTGGCTCTCGGCTCTGGCTACCTAAGAATTTCCGAAGGAGCTTCTAGAATTCTGATTCCCAGGTTGCTCTCGAGAGTTCCAAGGTGACCTCAGTGGACAGCCAAGATTAGGAGCCCTGCTCTAGGGAGGTGTGCCAGGTATAACAGGGTGACTGTGCCTGGAGGGGAGGAGACAGGGGCCAGGAAAAGCCACAGATTGGAAAATGGGACACAAAAAATCAAGAGTTAAGCCAAAACCAGTTTGGCTCAGTGGATAGAGCATCAGCCTCCGGGCTGAAGGGTCCCAGGTTCGATACCGGTCAAGGGCATGTACCTTGGTTGTGGGCACATTCCCAGTAGGGGGTGCGCAAAAGGCAGCTGATGGATGTTTCTGACTCTCTATCCCCCTCTCTCCCTCTCTCTTCCTCTCTGTAAAAAAAAAAAATCAATAAAAAATATATATTTTTAAAAAGAGTTGTGTAAAATAAGGATCTCCTAGAACATGGGGCACATTGTCCCATGATATTTAGCACCCAAGGTTTCAAATTTTCGTAACACTGAGACAGTGCTCAGAAAATTGGGATGGATGATTACCTAAGACTCAGTGGAAATGTGGCACACTGGTAGCTTTGGGCAATGCTGCTATACCAGCGCCATCATAGTTCACTTGCTGGTGTTTAGGACTGTTGGGAGGTAATTCTGCGTAAGTCTCTCATGTTTCTGAAATTCACTTCTTTTGTTATTAATACTCAGAGCTCTTTCTAGAACCAGAACTCTGCTTTTTTGTTGCTTTTAAAAAATTATTCATAATTGTGTATTATATTAGTTTCAGGTACACAACATATTGACTCAACATCTATATACTTTACAAAGTGATGGCCATAGCTCTGACCCAGGAGTGCTGTGTTTTCTGCCAGTACCCCGAAACCATGGTGGACTAATATGTGAGACAGGCCAAACCTCAGATCCTCCCTGGTTTTGACAAGGATAGCAGTCTACAGTTAAGTTTGATCTGACGTAATAAGAGTGGATTTCAAACCATTCTTAACCAGGCACATATAAAACCTGGATATCAAGCCCCTTTGATTAAAAACAAAAAATTAAGCTAAGGTAAATTTTTGTTTTTGATTTTTAAAAAGTTTTGTTCTATTATGTAAGTTTGTAGTGAAACTTCAGCTGTGGTCCATGTATCTGAGGGATCTGAGGGGACCTGAGTGTTAGCAGGGAATGGGAATCCTTAAAAAAACTCCCAACATTCCTACCTTTTCCAGAAGGGGAGGGACTCTCTGCCTCTGGGGTCACCCTTGCTGGCGCTACTGTGGAGGATGGCCTTTGGCGAGTCAGGGAGGGGTCTCCTAGAGAGAGGACAACCACATGGCATTTATGATCCTGCGGGTGGAACCTGGGGTGGCTTCAGAACTGGATATAAACAACAAATAAACATACAAATTTAAAACGGATACATTTGGCCTCCTAGGATAGGCCAGAAGCACAAGAAATAAACAACAATCAATGTTTCCCAACTTGCAGTTCTCATGCAAATACAAGCACAGACTGCAAACAGAATAGGCAGCAGGAATATCAGCAAATCTGTATCAGTTCCCTCATCCCTAAGCCCCACGGAGGCAACATGGGTGGGCCAGAACAGATACATCCAGTGGTCTGCAACACAGCAGCGGAAGCCTGAGCTCAGGGAACCTGAGTCTTTTATTAATGGCATGACCATGTCTGCCTTTTCTCCAGAGGGAGGTGCTGTCTCCATCTTCCAAGGCTGTATATATACATGCATCCTTGAAAAGATCAGGGAAAGGGCCAGTCAGTCCTCTGCATCAAGTAGAACGCTTTCTCCTTGCTCTGCCTCTGATGTCTGCATGACAGTCATGCAAAGAGACAGGGAGATTGAGGAGGAGTGGCCTAAACACTACAAATTCTTGGCTCTTCAAGAAGTCCTACAATAAAGTGAGTTTGCTATAGAACATTCTCCCCTCTGCTCTGACTGATGTTGCTAAGTGGTTAGAGCGTGGGCCCATACACCAAAAGGTCATGGGTTCAATTTGCAGGTTTGATTCCTGATCAAAAGCATGTACCTGAGTTGCATGTTTGATCCCCATTCCTAGTTGGGGCCCTGCGAAGAGGCAATATATCCATGTCCGCCCCCCTCTTCCCCACTGCCCTCCTTGCCTCCCTTCCACTATCTCTAAAAATCAATAGATGGTGGGCCAGAAAGAAACTCTCTACAGACTGATTCATATGCCTTTCAGCATATCGATTATTGCTCATCTCATTTTTTATTCTTATTTCCAGTAGGACATGATCTCACTCATCTAGGGGAAATGGTGAACAACATAGACTGATGAACAAGAACAGACCCAGAGATAAGGAGCCATGGGTCAGACTGTTGGACCTCAAAGGGAGGATGGGGATAAAAGGGAGAGATTAACCAAAGAACTTGTGTGCATACATATGAGTCTAACCAGTGGTCGAGGACAATAGGGGGTGGGGATATCAGTGGGGGCGGGGGTGAGGGATTGGAATGGGGAGTTGAGGACAAATATGTGATACCTTAATCAATAAAGAAATTAAAAAAAAATCAATAGAAAAAAATCATCCGGTGAGGATAAATAAACAAACAAAACCTCCCCTTATCTCCTTACCCCTCTGCTTCCCCCATAGAGAAGTTGGCAGTTTTCACAAATGTTATATGAGAAAGGATCTCACTCACTGCTGGACATGCACCAAGTAAGCAATGAATGTTAAATCCGAGGACTGTGGCTTAATGTTTTTCCTAGAGTAAGTGGATTAGAATTTCTGGAAATGGCACAATTGGCTTCCGCCACAAGATTAATTGACTCCTTCTGGCATGGTTATCTAGTTGTAGGTGGTTTACAAAAATTGATTCTGGCGACTTTCCCTCACACTTGCTCTGGACACTGACTGGACACCAGATGTGGGTAACCAAGTTAGGGAATCTGTGCCATGTGTCTCCGCAGTCTGGGATGGATACCTTTGGAGAATGACAATAATTTCCCTGCAGGCCTTTTAGGGAGAAACTGGAAAAGCCCTCAGGGAAGTAACTACACTTGAGCACACATCCTTGTCTGTAGCCAAGTTCTTGCTACCACAATCTTAAAGCATCGATGGTAATAATAGTTAATATTTACCAGATTTCACTGAGTCCTTCTACAAACAAGCTACAATGTTGACATCAGGTCTATTTTCTATAAGAGAAACCCAGAGTTCTGAGATATGAAGGCCCTTGCTCAAAGTCTCATAGGTTTAGGTAAGTGGCAGAGCCAAGATTTGAAGCCAGAATTGTGTGACACCCTCTCCGCTCCAAAGCCCATGTATTTCCACCTCCAGAGGTGTTGTTTAGAGGTCTGTTGGTTAATTTAGCCTCAGACCTAAATACAAAACTCTTGGCCCCTCAGATGGGCTATTCCATTACCCACACTGCAGCATTGCTGTCTATGTGTCCTTGACAAGAGTAGCAGGCAGGGATGGTGCAGGGGCAGGTACTTACTGATGCATTTGAGAGAGGGAATTGTCCACTGAGTAATATTTGTGTCCTCGTTATGCAGACACTTAGTTAGGCTGGACGTACCAGCTTTACGCTTGAAACCAGAGTTACAAATATAACGCTCTCTGGAGTTCTCGTTATAACTCTTGACTTTGATGTTTGCGTGTTCAATAGATGTTGGAGTAGCGCATGTAGTACCTGCAAAAGTACAGATAAAAGGGAGAGATGAACAAATTTCAGCTTGTTCAGAAATCTTCCAGAAGCCTTGCCTTAGGTGCCAGACTTTCAGCATAGCTAGACATGGAGGAGTTATCAGAGAAAACCTCCTTTGCCTCAGTCTCACTTCCCATCCTCCCCAGCCTCAATCAATCTCAAAGGTATCCATCTCTCTATTTCTCTTCCGCCTCATCCATACCAAGCCTTTGAGTTCTCTTGCCTAAACAAACAGCAATAGCCTCCAGGCAGCCAGCATCATCTTTATAAATGCATATTTGATGGCTTTACTCTTTCCTGATATTCTGCTGCTCTTAAAATAAAAACTAAAATCGTTAAGTCTTCAAGGATCATCCAGAACTGGCCCTGCTTATCTCTCTAACTACTCTTTCCCCTGGCCACAGTGGCCTGTGGTCCCCTAATGCCACTTACCAGGCTTTCCCTTCCTCCCCTCGCCCCCCTCTTGGCTGGCCATCCGTCATCCTTCTCAGGAAAGTCTTTCCTCACCCCATAGTCAGGCCCTCGCTCCAGAAACCAATCATTGTCTCACTAATAGAAAGAGGTTGGTCAACCTTGAAGCTCTGAAAGGTCAGAGCCAACCACACCCTATCTGAGGCAACTTCCCCATCTTGTAATCATGTAAATCCTTACTGATATGATAATCCACTTATTACCTGCCCGACTTCTTTCTATTAGTGAGACAATGATTGGTTTCGGGCACCATGGAGTTCTCTGTTCTTTCCCTGTATAGTTGTTTTAACAATTGTATTTAAGATGTTGAGGTGATGTAATGAATGTACTAGATGTACCGGTTAATAATAGCAGATTTTGTTATCAAAGAAAATACGATAATTTCAAGAGAAACATCAAAAATGCTTTATTCAAAGTAATGTCCAATAGCTACACATTTCCCCATCTTTTCAGGTAATTTGTGCGTACTGACCCAATAGAACTTTTCTTGTTTTGAGGCAAACCATTCAGAGATCAAATTATTCACTTCTTTGTATGTTTTGAAGTGCTGCTCAGAAAGTGCACGTGCCATCGATCAGAACAAGTGGTAATCTGAAGGAGCAAGGTCTGGTGAATACAGCAGGTGGGTGAATACTTCCCAGGCAAGATATTTTAACGGGTCTTTAACTGGTTTTGAAGTGTGTGATGGTGCGTCATCATGAAGCAAAATTACTTTGCAGTGTCTTCTGGCACATTCTGGTTGTTTCACAATCAAAGCATCATTCAAATTGATTATTTGTTGTCGGTAGCGATCAGTATTAACGGTTTCACGTGGTTTCAGATGCTCATAATACACCACACCTTCCTGAACCCACCAAATGCAGAGCATTGTCTTATTTCTGTAGCGATTTGGCCTTGTAATCATTGCTGATAGTTGACCTGGATCAACACATGATTTTATGCATTTGGGATTATCAAAATAAATCCACTTTTCATCACCAGTCAAATTCGATGCAAAAAAGACTTTTTTTTGTGTGTGTGTGCTATTGAAGCAACATTTTACTGATGACTTTTCAGTTTTCCATTTGTTTTTCATTGAGTTGATGTGGCACCCTTTTCCTTCCTTTAAAGTATTTTCCATTTTTTATAAATGATTGGAAATTGTTTGCTGAGCAACATTTAATCTTTACGCAAGTTGTTTTTGAGTTTGATACGCATCTTCATCCAATGCTTGTAATTGTTGGCCTTCAAATTTTTCAGTTGCCTTGGCCATTCTTTGTCTTTCACTTTGAAATCATCACTATTAAATAGTTTAAACCAGCATTCACAAGTATCTTGAGATGGAACATGTTCTCTATAAGTTTATTCAGTAGCACTTTTCTTCAAAATAAAGTATGAATTAAAACTTCTCGAAATGCTATTTTTTTGTCACGAAATTCAACATTTTTAACTGTAAAATTATCTATAATGTTAACATCTTCAGCAAATTTGACACACCACATTTTCCGGCATATAAGATGACCCCCTAATTTTACAGTTAAAACATAGGTTTAGGCCTATATTCGCTGTATAAGACTAACCCCCACTTCAAAGAAAAGACTTACTTTGCCGTCAAGATCTGCAGGTAGCTGAAACTGGTTTGGCTAATGGATAGAGCATCGGCCTGCGGACTGAAAGGTCCGGGTTCGATTACGGTCAAGGGCATGTACCTTGGTTGCGGGCACATCCCCAGTAGAGGGTGTGCAAGAGGCAGCCGATCGATGACTCTCTCTCATTGATGTTTCTATCTCCCTCCTCTCTGTACAAAATCAATAAAATATATTTTAAAAAAAAAAAGATCTGCAGGTAATTTTTGTGCAATACTGTTTTTTTGCCCCCGATTTTCAGTTTTGATTTTTCGTTTCAAAAGTCATCTTATACGCCGGAAAATACGGTATGAAGTTTTGAAACTTCTCAATACAACAAAATAGTATACATATCAAATCACATACATATCAACATATGTGTAACTCCATGTATTATTAACCAGTACACCTAGTATGTCTCACCATCTGCACTGTATGCTATAAAAGGTAGGGCTCACATCTGTTTTGCCCAACACTATATTCCCTGAGCCTAGTATAGTACTTGGCAAGAATAGGTGCTCAAGTAATACTTATTCAAAGAAGAATGAATAAAATTTCTTCCTTAATACCAGGTGTAAGTTTGAACTTCTAATATAAGAGTTCTATTTATTTAATTTCTATATGTATAACCCGGCTTATCTAATTCTTCTCAACTTTTTGGAAGAAACTAGAGGCAAGATGAATCTTTTCAGGTGGCTCTACTTTTGTGACAACTGGAATTAAATACTGATTCCAGAGAGAGAAACCAAGATGGCAGCATAGGTAAACACCTGAAATTGCTGCCTCACACAACCATTTCTTTCTTTTTTTATTTTATTTTATTTTCCTTTTACTTTTTTAACTAAATTATTCTCTGTGTACATATTTTAACATTGCCCTCCCCTCCCATACATACCCTCCCTCCCCAGAGTTTTTTGTCCATTGGTTGTATTTATATGCATGCATACAAGTCCTTCAGTTGATCTATTATCTCCCCAGATCTCCCTACCTCACACAACCATTTCAAAACTATAACTAAAAGACAAAAAGGACATCATCCAGAACCACAGGAAGGTTGGATAAGTGGAAATTCTACAATTAGAAGGGAAGAGAAAAGCACACTGAGACTCAGAGGAACTGCAGAAACAAAGTGCAGAGGTACAGAGGCACATACAACTGAGTATGCAGCTGTCTTTTTCAATCTGCAGGGAGACACACGCTCCCAACTGCTCTGAACTCCAGTTCCAGGTGAGACTCTTGGGATCCAGACTCATATGGGGAGAAAATGGACTGTCTGGCAGTGGGCAGAACTCGAGGGTGGCTTTCTCTCAGAGGTGCTGCAGCGATTACCAAGGGACACTGAGACCCAGAGGCCTCTTACGGCAGGGCTGAAGGGAACTATTGCTGTTTTCTCTGCCCTGAGACTCTGCCCCACCTAAGCTATGTGCAGAGGCTTTTGCATATGAATGGCCTGGTCCCTTGAAATTTAAACCTACTTAACAAATTGCAGCTGAGTCAAAGAGACCTAGAATACTCAAAAGAAGGCCTAGGACCCCACAGAGGCTTGAATTGCTTCACAGCTAGGCCTCATCTGGGCACCTCCAAAACCCAAACAAAGAAGAGGAATCTGCATATCTCTCTGTAGCTCCTGCTGGGTGGCCTCAGGCAGGCTAAATTAGCACCTCCTTGGAGATCCAAGAGCCAATGTACCCATGGATCAGAGTAGGATCATCCATATTACAACTCCTCAGATCCTTAACCTGTTAACCGGGGAGTTCCCTTTTTAATGACGCAACCTGTAACGGGCTTGCATTCTTTCACTAGGACGTGTCAGTACGTCACACCCGGAGGACATAATTTCATATTATTTTTTTTATTTATACTTCAGGTCCCGGGTTCGATTCCGGTCAAGGGCATGTACCTTGGTTGCCGGCACATCCCCAGTGGAGGGTGTGCAAGAGGCAACTGATTGATGTTTCTCTCTCATCTCATCGATATTTCTAACTCTCTATCCCTCCCCTTTCCTTCCTCTCTGTAAAAAGTCAATGAAATATTTTTAAAAAAAAGATTACAAAAAATATATACCGTCCCTCTCGGGACGCAACATATATTTCAAGGACGTATTCATATGTCCTACCCGTTCCCGATATTGTTTACGTTTGACGAATTTATAGGTCCCGCTTGATTAACAGGTTAAGGGACACACTCAGGGGGCAGACTCAGTGAGCACCAAAGCCACACTGAAGCAAGTTTTTCCTCATAAGGGTATCTCCAGCACAGAAATTCTCCCATCATAGACAAAGCTGATCCTCACAGCCAATTGGCCTGGAGATCAATTCCTCCCAGTGATACCAATAACAATTAAGGTTTAACTATAACAAGACTATGCACACAGCCCACAAAGTGGTGCACTAAGAGTGTCCACCTCAAGTAACTGGGGAGGCTGAGCTACTGGGCCCTAAAGGACACCTAGCACACAAAGCCACTCTATCAACACAGGGAAGCAGTCAAAATGTTGAGACAAAGAAACAGGTCACAAATGAAAGAAAAGGAGGAAAGCAAACGACTGGATATAGAGTTCAAAACCACAGTTATAAGGTTTTTCAAGAATTTTCTAGAAAAGGCTGATAAATTTAGCAAGACCCTTGAGGATATGAAAAAGGACCAACTAAAAATTAAGCATATGCCAAAACCAGTTTGGCTCAGTGGTAGAGCATCGTTCTGCGGACTGAAAGGTCCCGGGTTCGATTCCGGTCAAGGGCATGTACATTGGTTGCGGGCACATTCCCTGAAGGGGGTGTGCAAGAGGCAGCTGGTCGTTGTTACTCTCTCATCGACGTTTCTAGCTCTCTATCTCTCTCCCTTCCTCTCTGTAAAAAAAATCAATAAAATATATTAAAAAAATAAAAATAAAAATTAAGCATACACTGA